AAAATTCGAAGTTTTCACTTCTTTTCATTTTAAGTTAAATGATAGTCAGACCTTGATTGTATAAATCAAATATACACTTAATAGGTACTTACCGTCTACACAAAAATGAACTTATTCGAATGACCAGATTTGAAATTACGTATTGCGGAACAAATTCCTACATATGGCTCTACATAAACTAAACATAGGTCTTTCGATTCCAAAACGATTGGTCGTATATGTTACATAGTTATATTCGCTTTAAATAATGTCGGAGTCGTTCCATGTCACACCCAGATTAGATTCAAGTTTGTCTGTGGAAACAGTTATAACTATGAAACCTGAAAAAATTTGGGTTATCAACCAACCAAATCATGTCAAGATAGTGATTTCGCATTCATTTGATGGTAGAAAATCAGGGAATTTCGTGTACGATGACTTCAGATAAGCACTTTACAAGATATCTCATTGTAGAATTCTTATGGACCTGAAAAACCTAGGAATTGCTGGATAACTTCTGAAAACGGATCAAAGGCTTTTGCTCTCAAGAGGACATTCATAAATTTTGATACATGTATGTCATCGTTGGTGTACACAAACTTGATGAAATCCAACTTGAACTGCGTTTGTTCGGAATACTTCCGTTTGATGGATTACTCGAATATCTTGGAAGCGGCCAGTAATTTTAAACTCCGTTAATCGGTTTTCATAGAAGATTAAGAGATGAGCTGTGAGGTTTTAAAATACTTAAAGAATGGATTTACAACTCATGTATCCTCTCTTTATTTTCCTACTAGATCAGGACCAACTTACAATACAGAAGGCTATTTTGAAAGCTATTGAATATGGTTTTCTGAACCAAAGAAGTGATTCTGCACCTTTCGTTTATTCATTCATGAGAATCCTGAGGGCTCCACATAAGCTTACTGTAAATGGACCCTACACCTCGTATGCCTTCTGCTCTTAATACGCAGTTCTAAATGACGACACGATATTGCTTCCCACCTTTTACAGACATGAACCACCATATTACCTTAGTTTTGAGTTTCCCAAGATTTCGCTATTCTCTTGCGCCCACTAAAGTACTATATTTGTTCCAAAGAATCCATCCTGACCTTGGTAGATTTTTATCATTTCGATTTTTGGTTACAGTTAACAGCATTCCGTGGGTCTCACTTGGATTACTATTCTGTTTTTTACAATTGAGTCTAGCTTCAGTATATTCTAAGGTTTTGGACATTACCTGTTTTATTCGTTCCGAATATTTTTGCAATAGGTTGATAACTTAATTTCATAATGATCATTAAGAAACACATGCAAGCGTCCAGGCAGGCCGTTTTTCTGTCAATTGAGGTATGTATTTGGTGTGATAAATGCAAATGATGGTTCAATGAAAGTAGAAACGGATTTAATAGCAGCTACTTATAACATTATTCACTAAGTCAATCACAGGTGGAAATTCAAAAAACCTGTTTACCAATTCTAAAAAAGCCGTCCAGTAACTAATGGACAAACTAAGGTGTGCAGGGAGGGAAAGAAGGTAATTTTTGATGACTTCATTATCGATGAAACAAGCATCAGCTCCACATAACACATGCTGAAATAGCACCGCATAGCACAGTTTAGTTTCTATACATTTAATTTGATTAAGCCCTTTTGATCAACTGGTTTTAACAGACAGTCATTTGTACTGAAAAAAACTTGTCTGCACCGTTCAGCTTCTGTTAATTGTCATGTGTTGTGGGAGCAAATATGATTGAGCATTGCTTACCGCCTACAAGCATATCCATTCTACTCGCTTTAATTTTTAGCCGCTTAAATAATACAATGGCTTATAGTGGGACAAGTCGTGACTGACAATGGACACCACTACAGACCAATTACGTTCCCGTCTCTAAGCGCAATATCTCCGTGAATCAAGGACAGATAAGAACAGTTAATCCAATACAAGGGATATATTTGCTGGCGATTTCGTGAAATCGAAGGGATAACGAAATCGTGCCAGAGAAAAAGGTGGAGTTAAAGCTAGCAGTACAAACCAAAAATAGCAGCAACGCATACAGAATGTTTGCGCGTACGGAATAAAAATAAACAAAATCTTCAGTAAACAATGACTGGTGGTTTATGATAGTAAGTGTTTATATTAACCAATTGCGTTCTATTCGTAAAAGTGGCGTCACTGCAGATTCATTCATTTTCCTTTGTAAATATATACACATTTTATTCCTTTTCACCAGTGAACTCAGTGGCTCGATCACTTGCTCTTCCGCTCTCACATGTCATATTCTCCACGTGTGCCTGTGGTGGTTGTGATCTGTGTATGGTGCAGATAATCACTGTCTTCAATGCTTTGTATACATCTGAGTTTATACACTGTTGGGCGCTATCTAATATACGGTTGTCAGGACGAGCAGTATACGAAAGTCTAGTAATATACTGAATATCGACCTCAACAGAACTGGTGATCCCACAACAATCACACAATTTGTGAGCCCGAAGACGAATATAACGCGGACTCATCCAACAAAACTGTTACAAGGTCCTCGGTGTCAAACTCTCACAGAAAACTTATTTTCCTCAGCACTCATCCTTCAAAAGCTAGTCATACGCAAAGTTCTAGGAGAGTGGTAATGAGATAGAACGGAGCTAAAAAGAATCAAAGGTTACCATCAAAGATATTCAGTAGCCTAGGTCTTGAAAGGAAATTAGTTAATGGACCGATTGTCTAATCCACTCCAAAGTTTGTCCAACCAGTCCGCAAAATACACAAGAACTCGGATCGAAATCTGGTGATTACTAAAAAGAACAGCAGTTTCAACGTATCCAGAAACCTGAGAATCCAGTCATGGTTCGTGACGATTCTTTAGTCCTCAAGGACTTTGTAGATCGACTCGACCGTTCTACAAGTTTACAGGACAAAAACAACAGTGTCCGTGGAAGAGTTAAACAGAAAGTTCTAACTCTCACAAACTGAATCACTAATGGTTTCATGGTTTACATGAGTAAAGATTATCAAATCCATCCAAGACTCTTTTGTATACAGTTCACCAGTAATGCAGATGTAGAAGATATCTAATTGATCAGCACATTGCTGAAATCCGAAAGGGATGTGGGGATACCGGTCGACATAACATAGTTCAGTTCAGCACAGTTCCATTCACGACATCAAAATAATCTCCCAGGACGTTATTTCGAGGAACAAATAAAACTTTACAAAGTTTCCCAGAGAATATGTTTCAAGTCAGAAGTATGAACTGCTTATAGAAGAACTCTGAGAGCTCAACTAAACTAAGTGGACTGGTCGTGTGAAGTAAACCGCCAACAATACTCACTTGATAAGAATATATAAAGAACAGATATGATTCCAAATCACGGACCTGAAGCTGGCCATACCTGGCATGTCTTTTTTTCAGTGCGTCAGGAAGAATGGAAAACGGGGCTACCCAGTATCTATGGTCGTGCTTGATAGCCCACGAAGCGTACTCTCAAGAGTTTGTCAGTCATGATGAATCTGCATGGTTCTCAGTTAGATTATCTAACAACAGCGACGTTTTAAGGTGAGGGCCAACTTTTTCAGGTCCCTCTAGTCCTGTACTAGGACCACTTCTCTTACAGTCCTTATAAATGACCATTTTCGAAAAATGTCTGAGTTATTATTTGCGCTGGTGATATTAAATTTCGAGACGAAGTTCTTAGTCAAGACTATTCAAGAGGATCTAGATGAACTTCGTAGTTGAGAGAAGGACAATGGACTTACTTATAACACTTCAAGGTGGAAAGTAATTCACACACGACTGGCTGCGGACTAGGTATGCAGCCTAGGTTACTCCTCCAGAGGTGTCTGAAAAAAACTGAGAGTCATGACCACCTAAAGTCTAAAGTCTTACATTAGTTGTAGCACAAAAACCTTTCGGACAAACTTTGATCTAGCAAATATAAGGCACATTTTCGGCCAGTGTGATAACGGGACGTTCCACCTAATTTTTAAAGTGTTATTCGGCTACATTAACAGTCTAGAAGTACAGTGCTTCCTCGCTCACTCTAAAAGGACAACAATGCACTGGAACGTATCCATGGATTAACCCTGAAATCAGTTAGTTAAATTCATTCCTTAAAAAGAGTAAAGGCATCTCAGAAGTGACCTATTGACTCATGGCATTATTGATACTCCTGAACATCCTCTAAAATACTTACTTCACCTCAGTCTCAACAGAAACCTTAAGGGAAATACCCAGAAATTCGAGGCCAAACATATGGGAATAGACTTTGGACACACCGACTCTTTACATATAGTTAAATTCTGGAGTTCTTTATCGACTGAATCGGTAAACGTAACTTCGCAAGAGTTCTTCAGGAAGAAACTCGACATATTCTTAAGGAATCGGTACAGTATTTCATTAAAATCTGCTATTATCTCTTCTTTAATCTTTTATTTCACTTTGGTTCCCACTTTGCGGTACTGGTGATCCATCGCTTTTAGATACAGAAGCTTTGTAATCAAAAGCTTCTTCTATTCCGTCCACAGCTATATGAACCGCAAAAGTCAAAAAATTTTCCGCTCATATCTTACTCATTTTACAACGTTAGGTACCTTTTAAGATGAATTGGGGATGCTACGCGCTTTTCTTACAAGCTTAGCCTCAATTAGTGGTTATTTTTTGCTCTAGCTACATGCAAGTTTGAGTTTGTTGTCCCAAGATGACAATTTAAATCCTCAAGGTCCATGTAAGTTTTGTTGCTCGGTACGCGGGTAAGTGATTATCGTTTCTATGCATATTCGCTCATCAGCATAGTATGGTGTCGCTGATACTACGTCTGGCTATTGTATTGCACTATTGTTTTGCCAGAAACACATGTTTCTCAAATGATAAGGTTAGGCTAGTTTGTTATCCATTCCCAGTGATGAAAGTAAGTTCTTGACGAATGCTTCATCTAATAATGAGGTTACTAAATTGGAATCGAAAGTTATTTCCAATCCAATGAAGTCCCTTAATATTTATGTTGTTAAGCAGGAGAGACTCAATATGCCAAAACCCCGGGGATCTGAACTCCTGAATTTGTCTGGATTGCCTAGAATTCACATACCTAATAATCCATTACGACCAATAGTATCAATGTAAGTCACCTACACATGAGCCAGCAAAATGGTTAGCTAACTTACTGAAATCAGTCAGTGATAAATTGTGTTCAGTTTTGTCATTAGATGCTTTTGAACTGGTTGGTGTTTTTGACGGTATTAATATTAGAGAGAAGACTAAGCATTTTTTGATGTCAACTACCAATCTACCTTTAATCAAAACTTAATTTTCCTTTTGACTATATGTGGAGTAATTTCCCTCTTTTTCTTATTCAATCAACACTATTGAGAGAACTACTTTTATGTACTGAAAAAATCCAAGTCACGTTCGAAGGTGAACATTTTCAGTTGATGTATTAGTTATACGTGATAAAGATTTCAATCTATCTCAGTTACCAAATAAACATTAGCCTGTCCATCCACCCAATCTCCTGTCTGAAAAGTTAATAATAGTCCGGTATTTTTCTGAGTCTCGCTAACAGTCGGATTTCCGATAGTCTTTTCTTTGATAAGTCTGAATAGTCAACTACTGTTACCTATCGCCGCTGCACTTTCAATCTCTTCCTGTCGCTACTTACCACAGTTCGCGATCATTACGTAGGCTTCTTATCAGCCCGCGCTTAATCTGACTCTGCTCCTTATTATGTTCAGAGCCAGACGGGGTGGATTTCTGAGTATCTGTTAGCTTGGTAGATGCTACTGAGATCTACTGCGTCTCCCTAACCTTATGGTTTGCCTTACTAGCGAATGTCATTCCTGCTTTCATAGCTTTCTGATATCATTCCAAGCTGCCTCGGGGTTGGAATCACATAGCTGCCTAACTGTTTTTCAAGTTATTCCTGAAATACATTCTTAGCTTTTCTATCATTAAGTAGAACCATAAGAGGTTTTCTTGCAGTGTCTTTCCTATATCCAGTAAGCCGTAGACAAATATGTGCTCGCACTAGAGCATGATCTTAATCTAAACGTATGCCCTAAAATGAGCGGCAGTCTTCTATGGAGCCTCTCCATCGGTAGCTGGTAGCATTGTGGTCTAGTTGGGTCTATTTTGAGGGGTCGACTTGTCAAAAGGTGTCTTTCCTTATGCCTAAAACTAATATTTGCCAGAAATAGGTGGTTATCTGAACATAACTGCAGCAGACTGTCTCCATTATCTGTTCGATCAGTTGTGATGCCATAAGATCTACCTAGGTTTTTTTCAGTATCGCTCAGTCCTCCTACTTGAGCATTAAACTCACCAGCCACTATTACTACATCAGAGCGCCTAACTTTTTGGAGGATGTCTGAAAGCTTTCTTTCACCTCGTCTAAAGTGCAGTCAGTGGGAGCGTAAGTAGAGGTAACAGCGAGTGTCCCTATCTTTACGAGTTCCTACTGTCCCGTTTAGTCGGACAACGCACAAACGACTATCTACTGGGACCCAGTTTAAGAGAGCTAGTTCTGCCTTAGGATTCAATGTTCTACCTATACTAGTGAGGTCACGGGAAGTAGCATCAGGGCTTCCAGATACATGGAGCGTAAACCGAGTCGGTTCTTTGTCTGCGCAAAGTGAAGTCAAATTAGTGTTTCTACTTGTATCCTATATGCGCGTTTCAAAGACGCAGCAGTCAGTCAGTTGCAACGTAGAACTTCGTACGTAAGTACATCAGTTCATGTCGCCATACCACATCCGCACAGAGATATAATTGTCATTTCAAATCCAATAGTAGAAGAGGTAGTAAGGGTATAAGAAGTAATCGGAGAGGTTAGGATTAGAAGATATTATTCACGAAGTATGATTCAATGAGATAAGTTTAGAAAGTAAAAGCTAGAGGTGTTGAAGAATCCAGAAGATTAGGATTTGAGAGAACACAAAGAATAAATGCAGCGTCGCCTTTGCGAACGATTTTGAGCCATGTCATTCAAGGTCTCTAGCCATCGATTATTATCATCTCGCGGACCCCAACCAGGTAGTCGACAATTACCAACATGGCTTAGTCCACTCGTAAATGACTTCATGGATTTATACCATGTTTTGGTTTGGCCGCCCCTAGCTTTCTTCCAACCTATTCCTACACCACAAAACAAAGCTCGATGAGGCAGTCGGTGGTTAGGCATACGCAAGATATGTCCCAACCACCTCAACTGATGAATTTTCACCACTTCATCGATTGCTCTCATCCTTACCTAGTACTCGTTTCCTAACGACAGCATTGCTCACTCGGTTGTCCCACGGTATACGAGCAATGCTTCGAAGACACCTATGATCGAAAACCAGTAACCTACGAATATCTTCTACTCTCACTGGCCATGTTTCACAGCCATATAGGAGAACGGAGCGAACTGCTGCACAGTACACTCGTCCTTTAATTAGAGAACGGATATTACGCCTACGCCATAAGTGACGCAGGTTGGCAAAAGCCAATCGAGCCTTCTGTATCCGTGCCGAGATTTCGTCAGTCACCAGGCCATCGGCACTGATGAGACTACCAAGATAAGTGAAGCGGTCTACACGTTCGACTACTTCACTCCCTATCACTAGTTCAGGTGCCGATGAAACCCAGTCTTGAAGCAACATTTTGCATTTCGAGGGGGAAAACCGCATCCCGAACATGCTTGCATTGTTGCTCAGAGTAGTCAGAAGACTCTGCATTTTGTCAGCGGCTTCACCAAGTAGGACAATGTCATCGGCATATTCTAAGTCAATAAGCGAGCCACCTGGTAAAAGGTCTACTCCTGAAAATTCAGACGAGGACAATGTTATGTCTAGGAGCATGTCTATGATAAAATTAAACAAGAATGGAGAAAGTGGACATCCTTGACGGACACCACTTGATGTAGAGAATTCCGGTGACAGTTCGCCATAAGCCCTCACTCGACCAGTGGTGTTCGAGTAAAGGGCTTGTATAAGGTTAATGTACTTCTTTGGTACACCTTTCAATGACAGACACTGCCACAGAACCTCACGATCCACAGAGTCAAATGCCGCTGTTAGGTCCAGGAAGACAACTATTTTCGGACGCCTAAATGTGTGTCTGTGTTCCAGGACCTGTCTGAGTGTGAAGATGTGGTCTATACAACCACGTCCAGGTCGAAAACCAGACTGGTTTTCTCGAGTTTGCTCTTCACGAGCTTTCGTTAAGCGTCGAAGTATTACTGAGGCCAATATTTTAGATACTATATTAGTTAGACTTATTCCCCTGTGATTGTCACAAGAAGACTTCTGTCCTTTCTTATAGATTGTGACAATCAGTGATTGAGACCAGTCGGATGGGATCACGTCCAGTTCCCAGATTCTACCTAAGATCTCAGTCAACCTAGCTTCTAAAACTGAACCACCATCCTTAAATATTTCAGGGATCAGTCTATCAGGACCCGCAGCTCGTCCTCGTTTCAGATTTCCTAACGCTTTTTCAACTTCATTAAGACTAGGGGGACTTAGGTCGATTTGCCATTCAGGATGACTGGAGATCGTGGGTAACCGAAGAGTGACTCGAGGCCAGTTGAACGGATCCCTAAAGTGTTCTGCCCATCGATCCAGTCTCCTGGATTGAGAATAAATAATAGTCCCGTCATATTCTGAGATAGTCTCACTTACACTAGGATTCCTAATACCAGTTTCCTTGATAAGTCTGAAAAGTTGTCTACTGTTGCCGATCGCCGCCGCCTTTTCCATCGCTCTTGCTTTCGCCACCCACCACTGTTCGCGATCGTTACGTAGGCTTTTTACAAGTCTGCGCCTAAGCTGACTACGCTCTTCATCATGCTCAGAGTCAGGTGGGATGAGTTTTCGGGCATCCATCAGATCGGTGGATGCTACTGAGATCCACGATTTCATTCTAGCCTTATGGTCAACCTTACTAGCAGATATCACTGCTGTTTCCACAGCCTTTTTGATATCATACCATCCTGCTTCCGGATGGGAATCGCTTAAATGGTCGCCTAACTGTCTTTCTAGTTGTTCCTGAAATATATTTTTCGCCTTATTATCATTAAGTAAAACCCTAAGAGGCTTTCTTACGGTGTCTTTCCTACGTCCAGTAAGCCTTAAACAGATACGAGCTCGCACTAGAGCATGATCTGAATCCAAACATGTGCTCCAGAACGAGCGACAGTCCTCTATCGAACCCCTCCATCGGTGGCTGATGGCGATGTGATCTAGTTGAGTCCAACGTTGAGACAACTTCGGCGGTCGCCAGGTCAACAGATGCTTTTCCTTATGCCTAAAGTTGGTGTTCGCTAAGAATAGGCGGTTATCTGAGCATAGTTGCAACAGGCGGTCGCCATTGTCTGTTCTCTCAGTCGCTACACCATAACATCCACCAAGATGTCTTTCCTTTTCACCTAGTCTACCTACTTGAGCATTAAAGTCACCAGCCATTATTACTATATCAGAGCGCCTAGCTTTTTGGAGGAGGTCCGAAAGCTTTCTGTAAAACTCATCTTTAACCTCGTCTGCACTGCAGTCAGTGGGGGCATAGGCAGATATGACGAAGAGGCAACGGCGATTGTCCCTATCTTTCCGAGTCCTTACTGTCCCGTTTAGTCGGACAGCGCACAATCGACTGTCTATTGGGATCCAGTCAAGGAGAGATTGTTCTGCCCTACGACTCAATGCTATGCAGCATACATCGATTGCGCGAAATTCTAAAGTCCTAACTAAGGAAGCCTGTTGTCCTAATCGGAACAGGGTTCGGACATTAAATGCTCCAACAAGTAGTTTAGAGTAGGGTTTCAAGCGACCGAAAATAACGTTTCTTGTACTCTAATCGTCTGCATCAGCGGCGTCAGGTAATAAAGGAATGAAAAAAGGGTTGTTAGTGGAAATAAGAGAGTTATCAAGAGATGAAGGAAGGATTTGTTTATGACTAATTTGCTATCATGTACTGTTACGGGTATGCAGATGGATGCCACTTACTGGCTGCTCACATCATGGAAGGGTCTTGAGATGGTGGAGAAAATTTGTAGCTCAGGTAGATGATTGTAGAACATACAGCACGACTACTGCGGCCATTTGGAATAGGAGGTGTAGCACAAAAACCAACAGCATCACTCTAATCAATCTTATGTAAACCAAAGGACAAAATAAGAAAGTAAGAAAAACCAAATATCATCTACAAAATAAATTTCTCAGACTGAAAAACACTACATAGGACAAAGTGGACAGTCTCTTCAGCTTCGTTTACAGGAACACCAGTTAGCAGTCAAACGCCACCACAATTCTTCACTTATATCAATACATACGGATAATTATGGACATATATTCGATTGGAACAATGTGGAAATACTGGATAGGGGGGACAAAGGGCACTAGAGAATTTTTAGAAGCTTGGCACTCTGGTCAATCAGCAATTGGCAAGCAGATCGACATTGACCCAATTTATCAACCAATCGGAAAAATCGTAGGCGACATAGGATCAAGGAACAGGTTAAAACGGGGATACAGTCAAAACAAAGGTGCAAACAACGACACGTTTAAGGTCAATAGCAACCAATCAAAATCGAGGTTAAAAGAATAAGCTGCATGTCGACTGTGGAGAAATTCGAATACTTTACTTCCATCTAAAGTTTGTGCTGATTATGTTGTTCGGAAGAACAATCAAAGCTTCACAACCAAAGCATCCAGCTCAGAGGACGAAACACTACCAAAATGGAAGGATCTTTCCTAAGGAATATGTAAAAGGATAATTACTTTATGCCGGTCGCTCACAACCTTTTTGTAAGACGTTTTTGAGGTGTTGCCGCCGCTTTTCAAAAAACCTTACCAACGGAGACGAAAATCTGTCGAGTAAGGTAAAGTATGGCATTTTTCTGGTTGACCCCTTCATTTCGTCGTGATAAGGTAACCTCACTTCAGATGCTGGTTGTCCGAGATAAACACCTTGTTTCTGTCATACCCCTTTGCAGTCTTCAGTACGACTTCGCCCTCAGACCTTGAATCGTTGCTTTTAGTCTTGTTCTCCGATCAACCTGCTTGGCATGAAAGGACCTAAAGGAGTATATTTCAGCCAATATAGCTCCGTTAGGTCATCACAATAGGCAAGCCCGACTACCATATCAGAGTACGTAGTAATACACTCGACCGTTATGAAACATATTTGGTTACCATTCATAGTCAAATCTCTATAACCTCTAAAGCTATACCAAAACAATTATCATTAATCTCCATTGGCTTTCCAATATGCTGCTTGTGCAATCCAGTCTTGAAAGCGCTTTCCAACCCCTCACTATCCCCTAAGTAACCTGTTTTGTGGTCTCCATTTTGTGCGTATAGACATCAACAAATATCCCACCGCAAGTCCTATTAGGAAGTTACTTCTCCAACATTTGACATACGGTGGACCCCATGGAGGCGATCTCATGTTGGATATCTTGGAAGTGCCAAACGGTGGTCAGGTTACCTAAATTCTTTGTGTCTATCGCTAACACGCAAAGTAGGGATCTGTTCGGTTGTAGTTGATATTATAACCTGTAAAACTAAATATTGAAACAGCCCCCTGTTACGTCCTTGACCTGTCTGCCCACCAATAAGCAGGAGAGGATTTGTCTCAATTTAGTTTTCAGGCCTTGACCTAATATGTTATCTAGTTCGACCTTAAGACTCAAAAATACCTGAATCCGATGTTGAGTTACACCCCTGAGGCTGAGAGGAAAAAACTATTCTGTCACCTGATAGATTGACAAGCAAACGAAATAAAGATGTATTAGCTGGATCATTACTCGATTTGTTCCTTATTCAGATTAACATAAACGCATGAACAAATATATATTTAGCTCAACCACAACTTGCAAAGAATTAGAAAAACTCAACTTTGTATAAATTAGGTCATTAGAGTATAAAAATAAAGTACGGAATATTGCATTTAAATTACAATATGTTTTGGAATAAAAAACAGTATGGCAAGGGATCATACATCGAACAAATTAAATATTGGTATTTCACAGGCTGTGGATTAAGTAAAATAATGTTCTTAAAAATAACGTCCGTTGCTCGTCTTTGTTTCTCTCTTTACATCACTTCCTTTGGGCATTAAGTTTTTCACAACTTCTAGATCATATTTTCAGTGTATCTTTAATGCTCAACCTAGATCTTTTAATGACCTATTAACTAGATCTTACTTACTATAACATCATTTTTGAACTAGCTAGTGAAAAAAACACTAAGCCGAATCTTTAGCTTTCTTAAACATTTTTATATCTGAATGACTATAGTAGGATCATATTTTCAAGTTTATCTTGGATATTTAACAGAAGATCCCCTTAAAAATACAACGAAATTTTAATCAACACTTAAAATCATACATCATACTGTTCAATGGAAATATTTCGTTTCTACAAGATCTATCATTCATGTCCGTAACATCTTTGTGATTAATGTTTCATTAACTTGTCCTTGTTAACTAAACATAGCTTTATTGTCTATGATTTAACATAAATTTATGAGACAATTTTCTTAAAGTACAATAATGTGTAGTAGCAAAAAACAATCACTAATACAACTAACTATTGTGCATATTCGTGTACTAAACTTATAAACTACATCATCGTACTCAAATCTTAACTATTGGGATCGAATTTATACAGATTACTACAAGAGTAATTGTTATTTCCGATTTTTCAGAGGATCAAACACCCATCAAAACTCCACACAACCTTGATAGTGCTTTTTCATCTTTTAACGTAGCCCCATGGCTACCCAAAGTATCTATATACTAACAATCCAATTCATTGATCCTATTATAACTAAGTTATGACTAAAAATGTTATCTGATTTTACAAAATAAAGCAGTCAGTACCACCGTTCAAACAACGCTTGAAGTCAGTCAGTTTCTACGTAGAACTTCGTACGTACGTAAGTACGTACATCAGTTCAAGTTACCATATCACATTAACACAGAGATATTGTAGTGAAGGAGAACACAGGTGATGACAACCGAATTGTATTAAACGAAAATTACAGAGTTACTCAGTAAAAATAGGAAAACCATATCGTAAATCGTTCATTTGCAAAATATCAGTTCATTATATCGAACTGGACTGTTCCTGTTGCAAAACATTAATCCATTGTCACTACTATTCATGCGTTTCATACAAATTCCATTGTGTTCCCACTCTTCCTTTCTTGATCTTCCCCCATCTTCTGTTGTCAGACATTACGTTTACACTCGCGTCATATACTACTTATAAGTAGCGCGCACCACAATATAAGTGTCAATTCGAATTCCATATTAGTAGTAGTAGGGGTATTAACGCAATTGAGAAGATAAGGGTTCGAAGATATTATTCAAGAAGTATAACACCTGAAGACTGAAAGTTTACTGCTTCAATAATTAAGCCTATAATTCGATACAATAGAATAATTTACTTAACAGCAGAGAAATAGCGATAATTTATTTATCAACCAGAACTTATCGATTTTAATGTGAAATTCTACGAAAAAAAAAGATACATTTGTTCTTTATTAAACAATACATGTACTCGTACTTATTGGGTTTAATTTTAACGTACACAATTTCTATACCTTGAACAATAGTTGCTTATCCATTTATTTATAAATATTTTAGATTTTTAAAAATCAAACTCTAACAAGAAGTATACAATGGTTAAAGCAATTACAATAAAATATTTGAGTTTATTCATTCTTGTATTTCAAAATCTACTTTATATTCTATGTATGCGTCATGTAAGATCACGAACAATACAAATGTTCAATTCTTCATCTATGGTAATCATGAGTGAATGTTTAAAATTTTTAACATGTCTATTAATACTAAGTGTAACTGGTGAATTAAAACGATGTATTAAACTATTACAACGTAATCCATTCGATGTTTGGATGACTTTTATACCAGCTATAATTTATGTTATACAAAATCGTCTTCTTATTACAGCTTTAAGTAATTTAGATGCTGTGACATTTCAGGTAAGTTTATTCATACATCATAATCAAGTGATTAGTTTAGGTGGCTTATCAATTGAAATTATTTACTACAGCATTATTCAGTATGCTTATTCTTCGTAAACCAATCAGTGTAATGCAATGGTTTGCATTAGTGCTATTGTTTATTGGTGTTGCAACAGTAGAAACACCGGTGAATTCAAATCAACCAACAAATCAACCAATCATAACGTCTAATCCTTCATTAGGATTATTCTGTGTTGTATGCGCATCTATATTGTCTGGTTTAGGATGTGTATTTTTTGAAATGGTAAGCTATTATTGATGTTCATAATAAAATATTTCAGTGATTTTCATGTGTATTTATTAAATCACACTGATCATATTTTTTTGTGTTATACTTATTGTTGTTGTATTGAATTTTTATATGAAGAAGAGAGAAATAAATAGTCAGTCAGTCAGATGCAACGTAGAACTTTGTACATAAGTACATCAGTTCATGTTGCCATACCACATCAGCACAGAGAAGTAATTGTCAATTCAAATCCAATAGTAGTAGAGGTAGTAAGGGAATTAGAAGTAATCGGAGAGGTTAGGATTAGAAGATACTATTCAAGAAGTATGATTCAGTGAGAAAAGTTTAGAGAGTCGAAACTAGAGGTGTTGAAGAATCCAGAAGATTAGGATTTGAGAGAACACAGAGAATAAATGCACCGGCACCATTGCGAACGATTTTGAGCCATGTCATTCAAGGTCTCTTCTAACCATCGATTATTATCATCTCGCAGACCCCAACCAGGTAGTCGACAATTACCGACATGGCTCAGTCCACTTGTCAATGACTTCATGGATTTCTGCCATGTTTGAAATAAATAGTCCATTTTTTCTAATACAACAAAAAATATATGATTTTTGTAATTTATGATATAGACTTGTATGATGTCATAATTTCGTTTTTATATATAAATACAATACTGTTATCGTTTGATAAATTTATTAATCACATGCCTAATAATCCTATTACCATATTACATCCACTTAATTTAGATAATATAACATAACACTATGTACTGACTAAATTTTGCGCGACTTTATGGATTATTGTAAAACAACTCAATTGAATGAAATTCACCACCAGTGTACATCAATTTGATTGACTACGAGAAAGTATTTGATGAGATGAACAGGATGATACTACCTAAGGCTTCTTGGTGGACACTACGGTATGCCTGAAAAGATAGTCAACATCATACGGAATTCTTATGATGGATTAAACTGTCAAATCGTGCATAGAGGAGGATAGCTGACATACTGATTCGAAGTGAAGACCAGTGTCAGGCAAGGTTGCTTACTCTCACCCTATCTCTTTCTTCTGTTGGTTGACTGACTGGATTATGAAGATGTCAACATCTGAAGGGAAGCACAGAATACAGTGGACGAGCTGGACTTTGCAGGATATCTGGCTCTTATATCCCATACGCAATCACAAAAATGCAGGAAAAGATGACCAGTGTGGCAGCAGCCTCTACAGCAGTTGGTCTCAACAATACACAAGAGAAAACGTAAGATTCTCTGGTACAACATAATATGCGCCAACCAAATCACACTTGATGGATACGCTCTGAAGGATGTAGAAACCTTTACATATCTCAGCAACCCCATTGATGAGCAAGGTGGATCTGATGCAGATGTAAAGGTGCGGACCGGCAAAACAAGGGCTACATTTCTACAATTGGAGAACATCAGGATTTCGAAACAATTATCAACCAACACCAAAGTCAGAATTTTCAATACAAATGTCAAGATAGTTCTACTCTACGGGGCGGAAACTTGGTGAACCACAAAAGCCGTCATCCACTAGATTCAAGTGTTCATTAACAGATTTCTATGCAACATACTCCTCAGCATCAGCAACATACCTTCTGTGACAGAGAACAAGTCAAAACTTTTTAGGTTGATATTTCTGTGAACAACAGAAATGCAAGATAGATTTTCTGTATGCCAAAGCGTTACTAAAACTCAAATGAATTCTTTGAAGGAATATAAAATGCTGTATATATCCTAACCCTTGGTAGTTCCTCCCAATATGTATGAAAAGGGTAATTCTCAGGTTTCAATCCTGTTTCATGTACTTCTATATGAATAGACAGGTAAGTATCTTTAGCTCGCCCACACCAACAATGTGCTCAAAGCATATGCGTTAATCATAATATGAAGAGACGTTTTACCTTACCTAAACAGTAATCCAATCAAACAGAATCCATCCCTGTAATTCATTGTTGTTAAGTTTAATACTTACATCAATTAAGTTAACAGTCAAAAATGTTATCATACAAACAACAAAGTGTTTTTTATGCAATGAACTAATAAAAAATTTACTAGTAACAAATAGCTTAATCAATACAATCCTACGCACACATTTCATTCTTTCACCTCTTAAAATTAGTGATAAAATTACCTATTGGTTTAAAATTAGAGTTTCAAACAGATCTTTGTAGTAAGCACTTATTCATATTTTTATTTATATATTTATCGATGAAATAAATAGTCTATGTGAATAGCGTGATCATTTGAAAAAAACTGACTCAATATTAAAGGAAAAATCATAAATTTGTCATTTACACATTCATATTCTTCATTTGATCAATACATTCAAAAGTTCCATGGAAATACATTTTCTTTCTTTTATGGGCTGATCAAAGTTATCAAGAAGAGTAGATTTACAATGTTGAAAGTTTTGTTGATTCAACATGTTTTAATGCAGGTTGAAGCTGGCAAACTTTGGAACTTAGGTGTTTCTACTGGTTGGTACTTGTGAACAAAGTGTATCTACGATTAATTTTACTGGATGCATCAGTGTCCTCAATATTGCAGTTACACTTCAACAAAAAGTACTAGATCAAATATGACTTGTTGTTTATTGCTTACAACCATCTAGCATCAATCCCCTTAGTTATATCTATGTACACCTAAATAGTATTAACGTTAATATATATATGTATTCTTTTTTTTCTTAATTAGAGATCAGCGTTTTTATACATATCAAAATCATCAATCAATCATTGTTAGACCACCATTAGACGAGACCAGGAAGCAATGGGAGACGGCCGTTTCGTCCTGGCATTGGACTCATCAGAAGTGCTCAGTCGCGACTCATGCATCTCACTGAATTTGAACCCGTGACCTTTGGTCTTGCACGCAAACTCTTAACCTCCGGACTCCAATTGAGAAAAAATCATACAATGTGCCCAATAGTGACTAGCTTCGTGAAGAAATTCTCAGAGTTCTAGTGAGTAGACATGACCAGTGGAGTTCAACCCTGAAAGGGTGTAGGCAGTAACTACTGCAGACAATGGGTGAAGTCGCACAAAACCACTAGATTGATCAGAATTAGACATTAACACCGATGAATGCCGGTCCAGTTATCCAGATGTTAGGCGTTCGCGCGCAAAACCAGAAGGTCCTGTGAGTCGCAGAAGTTGTGGATGCGCACTGTTGATGAATCCCATACCAGGATGAAACGGCCGTCCAGTGCTTCCAAGTTTCTAATGGTGGTATATGTATATATATATATATATATTCATTGTGTGCTATTCTTTATTGCTTATTCATTCTTTCAACTATCTTCCTTTTATAATTAAGCTTTTAAAAAATACCAAAAAATCTTTATGGCATCGTAATATTGAATTAGCTTTTGCATCAATTATCACTGGTATACCTGTACAATTATTAACTGATTGGAATGATATTGCACAAAATGGATATTTTCACGATTTTGATTGGTTTGTTTGGTTTGTGGTATTTCTACATGCATTTGGTGGTTTATTAGTAGCATTAGTTGTGAAATATGCTAACAATATTCTTAAAGTAAGTGAATTTTACTACTTTCTCCAACCTTTTCACGTTGAATTGACAACTAATTGCTTCTTTTTTATTCTATCTGATGTACTTGTGTACTCAATAACTGTGTTACTTATTGTCAAAGCTAACTTTGTAAAGTTTGGGTCAACGTTGCATACTGTTGAACAGAATATTATTCAATGTACAAATATATGCGTAGTAGATTAGTATAGATACTTGAATCTAGATATTTAAATAAGGTTTAATTTGACTAAATAATCACTAAAAATGTGTAAGTGTAGAGAGTTGGTAACTCATATCTTTGCCTGGTTGATATTTTTTAAATGGACTGATGACTAGTTTCCTTTCTTTCGTTTAGTACAAATTCCAATCTAATCAGTTTATTTAAAGTGAAATTTTCATTGGATAATAAAAACACCAAAACAACCTTGAGAAGTAAATTGTTTTGGATATAATAATCACAACTGTGAACTTTGTCAGTGTCAATCAATAGAATCATATAACAGATTTTAATTTTGATGTGATTTTAGTCATCTTTGAAACAGGGCCAGTTAAATGCAACGTAGGACTTGGTACATACATACATTAATCCAAGTTACTTATAGCCCATTACTCAGTGGTCTGAAAATACACTAAGTGTACTTCTAAGACATTTATAATTGAATGCCAGTAAAGTACGAATATCCTCCATGTTCCACATCCATATAGTGCAAACTATTGTGTGGTAAACGATGAAAGTGTCCTTTCTAAAGACATATCAATGACAAAGTTAAATAAAAGTCGAGAACTGCATTTGAAGTAATCAACATCGATGACAGCTTCCTATAAGCTCTATCTCGATCAATGGTGTTTGAGTAGAGAGCCTGTACAAGGTTAATGTACTTCTTTGGTACACCTTTCAATGACAGTCATTACCACAGAACCTCACGACCAACAAAGTCAAACGCCGCCTTAAGGTCAAGAAATGCAACTATTGTCGGACGTCGAAATGTATGTCTATAATTCAGAACCTTCTGAATTGTAAATATTTGATCTATACATCCACGTGTAGGTCTAAACCCAGCCTGGTTTTCTCGAGTCCATTCTTCACGAGCTCTAGTTACTCATCGAAGTATTATTGAAGCTAATATTCTAGACACTACATTAGTTAAACTGATACCTCTGAAATCGTAGAATTATCAAGAATAGTGTGAATGTTTTCTATGAATTCAGGCAATCGAATCACAGGGCGGAAATGTATCGTACATTAACAAACCTCCATTTCATACAAAAGTTTTTTCGTAAATTCATTCAAAAACCGCCATGTGTAAACATCACTGATGTAACCCCAACCCAAGTTACAATGTAGAACTTCATACTTACGTACATCAGTTCAAGTTACCATACCACATTAGCACAGGGATGCAATTGTCAGTTCAAATACAATAAGACGTATTAGAGATAATAGAAAAGATTAGGGTTCGAAGATATTTATCAAAAAGTCGAATCTAGTGAAATCAACTTAAAAATAGAAAGATAAATGTGATGAGGAATTCAAAAGGTTAGAATTTGACAGAACACAAAGAATGAATGCAGCTGGAGCCATTGCAAACGGTTTGGAGCTATGTCATTCAAGGTCTTTAGCCATTGGTTACCAGTGTCTCGTTGACGCTAACCAGGTAGTCTATATCTACCTACATGACTCAATCCGCTTGTCAGCGACTTCAAGGATTTGTGCCATATTTTGTTTTGGCCGCCCCTAGCTTTCTCCCAACCTATACTTACATCGCGAAACATAGCTTGACGAGACAGTCGGTGGTTAAGCATACATAACACATGTCCCAGCCGCCTCAACTGATGAAGTTTCAATGCTTTATCTATTGATTTGCCATCCCTACCTAATACTCGTTTCCTAACAATAGCATCATTATCATCATCAATAGCCACGTAGAACTTTACATGTAAGTACAACAGTTCAAGTTGCCATACCACATTAGCACAGAGATATAATTGTCATCATCATCATCATCAGATACTAAACAACCAACTTGTTCGTTTTTTAAATTCATCCAGTCCGTTATTTTAGTGCGATTTATCTTTTCTATGACCTAAAAGATTTTTTCCGTTTTTCCTCTGTATATCCTATCTGTAATTCACTGATTTTTAACCCACAAATCTGTTTCGATGTGACGAAAAATATTTTTTGATTAGTTGATTTGTTAATAATATGGTAGTCACGAAATTTCAACACACAGATATAGCACTATTAAAACTGGAGAGAACAGGACGTCTGTCTTGCATTAATCTGAAACTTTTCAGTGGTGCGAACTTATAACCCCATCAACCGACGAATATATGAACTGAAAGTCTAGTTAATTTACCTCGATCAAGCTTGTAAACCACAATACAAAGCGATGGCTATGATATGATTAATATTCATATTTTTGCTGTTTTTTCTAATTAGTTATGTTAGTCGATAATTCTATTTCATTATTGTCTTCACTAACTTGTCGTTTTTTCCCTTTCCATTTTTTATAGGCATTCGCCTGTTGTGTGTCAATTATCCTGTCATGTGCATTTTCAGTTCTGTTCCTTGGAATGCATTTGAGTAACAGTTTTATTTTTGGCACATTAACTGTTATTGTATCATCTGTTCTGTATTCAATTTATCCTCCGAAAATAAATACGCAATAGAAAAATCGTATTACTGATTTCACTGATTAAACAACGACGTTATGATAGATAATTCTAGTCCTTTTTCTAACTCGATATTTGACCTCCTAATATTTTGTTTATACTATTTCAACTACTTGTAAGTAGTATAAACCTGAGTTAGAAATTTCAGAGAGAACTGGTCTCAGGTCGAACATGGTCGTTCATTCTGTAAACTATTTTTTAATTAAATTTAAGTTGATCTTTTGTTAAGAACTGTATTAATTTTCTCTTCATAATTGTTTTTTTTACATCTTTTTGTATACATCATTTCACTCTATTAATTGCTTAATAGTTATTTTAAATAATTTCTGGAAATATATATGATATTCTAAAATTATTCGCTTTATTTCAATGGTTATACATATTTTAATCTAAGGCAGCCAATATTTTGTCCATCTGCTAGTTGTTATGCGATATTTTCGTAGTTATTTAAATTAAGAAATCTGTCGAATTGTCATCATGATGAATTAAGTTGAAAACCTTGAAGACAGACAGATACAACGCAGAACTTCGTACATAAGTACATCAGTTCACGTTACCATACCACGTCAGCACAGAGACGTAACTATCAGCTCAAATCCAAGAGTGAAAACGATAGCAGAATTATTAGCAGCAATGGAGAAGATTAGGGAGCGAAGATCTAATTCGAAAAATATAATTAAGTGAGATAAATTTAGAAGGAGAAAGACAGAGATTATGAGGAATTCAGAAGGTTAGAATTAAAAAGTACACAAAGAGTGGATGCACCTGCGCCACTGCAAACGATTCTGAGCCATGTCGTTTAAGGTCTCTAACCATCGGTGACTATCGTCTCGCGGACCACAACCAGGTAGCCTACATCTACCATCATGACTCAGTCCACTTCTCAGTGACTTCATGGATTGCTGTCATGTTTTGGTCTGGCCGCCCTTAGCTTTCTTCCGACCTATTCCTACATCGCAAAACACAGATCGACGAGGCAGTCGTTGGTTAGGCATACGTAACACATGTCTCAACCACCTCAACTGATGAAGTTTCAATACTTCATCTATCGACCTGCCATCCTTACCTAGAACTCGTTTCCTAATGGCAGCATTACTCACTCGTTGGTCCCATGATACACGAGCAGTGCTTCGGAGACATCGATGATCGAAGACTAGTAACCTACGGATGTCCTCTACTCTTAACGGCCAAGTCTCGCATCCGTACAGTAGAATGTAGCAAACTGCTGCACAGTACACTCGACCTTCAGTCAGCAAACGAATATCTCGCCTGCGCCATAGGTGACGCTAGTCGCTAATTGATCATCAATGTTATACGACTACATGCACCTAAAGTTACAGTTTCTCTTTGTTGATGAATATCAAGAAACATGAAGTAGACTAATTTCCTTAGTGATTTTCTCACCCAGCCATCAATTGATAGATACCTACCAAACACTAACTTCATTGATTTGACGATGCAAACTTATTAAAGTCAAATAATAGAATATGGGATTAATTTCCTGATAACTAATTCAAACTTTAGAATTGTAGACTAACTGGAACTTAGTTCAAGTGGCACTGTGGTGTGAGCTACTTATAAGTAGTATATGACGTGAGTGTCAACGTAATGTCTGGCAGCAGAAGATGGGGGAAGATCAAGAAAGGAAGAGTTAGAACACAATGGAATTTGTATGAAATGCATGAATAGTGACAATGGATTGATGCTTTGCAACAGGAACATTCCAGTTCGATATGCTGAACTGATATTTTGCAAATGAGTCAGTCAGTCAGTTGCAACGTAGAACTTCGTACGTATGTACATAAGTTCATGTTGCCATACCACATTATTAGCACAGAGACGCGAATGTCAAATCAAATCCCATAGTGATAAAGATAGTAGAGGTATTAATGTTAATAAAGAAGACTAGAGTTCGAAGATATTATTCAAAAAATATATTTCAGTGAGATAAGATTATAAAGACAAAGGCAGAGGTATTAACGAATCCAGAAGATTAGGATTTGAGAGTGCTCAAAGAGTGGATGCACCTGCGCCATTGCAAACGATTTTGAGCCATGTCGTTTAAGGTCTCTAACCATTGATGAATTTCGTCTCGCGGACCCCAACCAGGTAGTCTACATCTACCAACATGACTCAGTCCACTTGTCAGTGACTTCATGGATTTGTGCCATGTTTTGGTCTGGCCGCCCCTAGTTTTCTTCCAACCTACTCCTACACCACAAAACATAGCTCGTCGAGGCAGTCGGTGGTTAGGCATACGTAACACATGTCCCAACCACCTCAACTGATGAAGTTTCACCACTTCATCTATTGATCTGCCATCCTTACCTAGTACTCGTTTCCTAACGACAGCATTGCTCACTCGGCTGTCCCACGATATACGAGCAATGCTTCTTAAACATCTATGATCGAATACTAGTAACCTACGAACATCTTCTACTCTTAACGGCCATGTTTCACAGCCATATAAGAGAACGGAACGAACTGCTGCGCAGTACACCCGCCCTTTGGTTGGCGAACGGATATCACGCCTACGCCATAAGTGACGCAGGTTGCCAAAAGCCAATCGAGCTTTCTGTATCCGAGCTGAGATTTCGTCAGTCACCAGACCGTCAGCACTGATGAGACTCCCCAGATAAGTGAAGTGATCAACACGCTCGACTACTTCACTCCCTATCACTAGTTCAGGTGCCAATGCAACCCAGTCTTGAAGCAACATTTTGCATTTCGAGGTGGAAAACCGCATCCCGAACATGCTCGCATTGTTGCTTATGGTAGTCAGAAGACTCTGCATTTTGTCAGCGTCTTCACCGAATAGAACTATGTCATCGGCATATTCTAGATCAGTAAGCGACTTTCCTGGTAGAAGGTCAACCCCTGAAAAATCTGACGAGCTTCATGTTAACTCTAAGAGGATGTCTACGACAAAGTTAAACAAGAATGGAGAGAGTGGACAGCCCTGACGGACACCACTTGATGTAGAGAATTCAGATGACAGTTCGCCATATGCTCTCACCCGACCAGTGGTGTTCGAGTAGAGTGCTTGTATAAGGTTAATGTACTTCTTTGGTACACCTTTCAATGACAGACACTGCCACAGAACCTCACGATCCACTGAGTCGAATGCCGCCTTAAGGTCCAGGAACACGACTATCGTCGGACGTCTAAATGTGTGTCTGTGTTCCAGGACCTGTCGTAGTGTGAAGATGTGGTCTATACAACCACGTCCAGGTCGAAAACCAGCCTGGTTTTCTCGAGTCTGCTCTTCACGAGCTCTAGTTAGACGTCTAAGTATAATGGAGGCTAACAATTTAGAAACTATATTAGTTTGACTGATTCCCCTGTGATTGTCACAAGAAGACTTCTGTCCTTTCTTGTAGATTGGGACAATTAGCGACTGGGACCAGTCAGATGGGATTACGTCCATTTCCCAGATTCTACCTAGGATCTCGGTCAGTCTAACCGTTAAAATTGGACCACCATCCTTAAACATCTCAGGGGTAAGCCTATCGGGACCTGCCGCTCTACCTCCCCTTAGATTTCCTATAGCTTTCTCAACTTCATGTAAACTGGGAGGACTTAAATCGATTTGCCATTCAGGATGACTGGAGATCGTGGGCAACCGAAGAGTGGCTGAAGGCCAGTTGAACTGATCCCTAAAGTGTTCTGCCCATCGGTCCAGCCTCCTAGATTGAGAATGGATAATAAGACCATCCTTTTCCGAGATAGTCTCACTTACATTCGGGTTCCTAATACCGGTTTCTTTGATAAGGCGGAAAAGTTGTCTAGTGTTGCCTATCGCCGCTGCCTTTTCCATCGCTTTTGCTTTCGCCACCCACCACTGTTCACGGTCGTTACGTAGGCTTTTTATAAGTCTGCGCCTAAGCTGACTACGCTCTTCATCATGTTCAGAGTCAGGTGGGATGCGTTTTCGAGCATCCATCAGTTCGGTGGATGCGACTGATATCCACGGCTTCATCCTAGCCTTGTGGTTTACCTTGCTAGCAGATACAATTGCTGTTTCCACAGCCTTCTTGATATGATTCCAACCTGCTTCAGGATGGGAATCACTTGCATGGTCGCCTAACTGTTTTTCTAGTTCCTCCTGAAATATTTTCTTAGCTTGATTATCATCAAGTAAAGCTCTAAGAGGCTTTCTTACGGTGTCTTTCCTACGTCCAGCAAGCCTTAAACAAATACGTGCTCGCACTAGGGCATGATCTGAATCTAAACATGTGCCCCAGAACGAGCGACAGTCCTCTATCGAACCCCTCCATCGGTGGCTGATGGCGATATGATCTAGTTGTGTCCAACGTTGAGACGACTTCGGGGGTCGCCAGGTCAAAAGGTGTTTTTCCTTATGCTTAAAATTAGTGTTTGCTAGAAGTAGTTGGTTATCTGAGCACAGTTGCAACAGACGGTCGCCATTGTCTGTTCTTTGAGCCGCGAGACCGTAACATCCACCTAGGTGTCTTTCATTTTCACTCAGTCTACCTACTTGTGCATTGAAGTCACCAGCCATTATAACTATATCAGAGCGCTTAACTTTTTGGAGGAGGTCCGAAAGCTTTCTGTAAAACTCATCTTTTACATCATCTGGGATGCAGTCAGTGGGGGCGTAGGCTGATATGACGAAGAGGCAACGGCGAGTGTCCCTATCTTTCCGAGTCCTTATTGTCCCGTTCAGTCGGACGGCGCACAAGCGACTATCTACAGGGATATTTGCAAATGAACGATTTACGATATGGTTTTCCTATTTTACTGAGTAACTCTGTAATTTTCGTTAGATACAGTTCGGTTGCCCCACCTGTGTTCTGCTTCACTACAGTACTACTGAATAGCTATACTTCTGTACTAGGTCATGTGTTGTACTCAAGATTAGACAATTAGTGACTATGTGATGTGCTTGTCAATTGGTATGCTTGAATGCTATTTCGAGTTCACCTTACTCAGTTGCTCCCTGCTGATGAGTCCCATACCAGGATGAAACGGCTTTCCAGTGCTTCCAGGTTCCTTCTAATGGTGGTCTAACAATGATTGATTGATGATTTCAAATGTGTGAAAACACAAATCTCCATAACTCTAACTGAAAATAATGTAACATTTGAAATAAACAGATGAACAAAAAAATTTTTATTAATCCAGAAACTTTCTCCCCACGATCCCAACTTTCAAAAAAAAAGAAAGCAAATATTAACTTATAATAAAATAAATTTTTTTTTGTATCATGTAAATTAAATGAATGATTGGGTTCTATTAGTCAGTTGGCTGATTGTCTTGGTTTTTTATGCGAAATGCATTCGACAAGTAGTTTAAATTGTAATTTTTTTGTAAATGCGAAATAAAATATTAGTGAATATGAATAAAATGAAAAGTTATCTACAATTCATTGTGCTACCGTTTTTTATGTAACATAATAATAATTATTATCATTATTGATTACAATAAATACATGTATGTGTGTACAGAAGTTTTGTCAAGAACACACTAGAATAGTGTATCATCTTCCCATGTTGATAATAATCGTTCTTCTAATACAGCATTCACTGTATATCGTCTGTATAAAGAAAGAAAAAATAGATTTTTTTCAAATTTAATCATACTACTTACAAACAGAGAATCATATATTCAATAGAATTTGATTTTAAACAGTATGTGATTATATAAATCGTGAAATAACCAAGTGTACAATATCAGGTAAAGATATCAAGTCTTCATAGACTAGCATGACTTGGACACAAATATGATACATATCTAGTCACTATCTACATTGACCGACAATGTTGGCTGATAAGTGTAGGAATAGTCTGGAAGAATCATTTGAGCAGCTCAAACAAGATATGACATTTGTCTTTACCCTGATTGATAGATGAACCCAAAGAGAACATCGACAGCTCAATATACTAGAACATCTAGTCGATTCCGATCACACTAACAACCAACAACAACTATTATTCATGATTATCTTCAGCCCAAGGATGGTATCTATGCAAAAGCAACAGATTTTCATCTCTGCTAATTAATCCTTCATATTCTGTCTGAATTTTTAAATTTTCTATTACCACCCTTGTTTTTCATTTGTTCCTTGCCTACTTTACAAGTGTCAATTGGAGAACTATGCTTCATACTACTGTTTCCACCTTTTTCAATTATCGTTGACACTCAGTTTTCAATGCTTCAACGAACTACTATAGATATAATTGTAGAGGTGCAAACCTACTCCTGTACTATCAATCATCATGAATTAATTTAGGCTGGACGGGAACTAAAGATGGTCAAACTATGGTCTAGTATCAGTTCACAAATTTGTAGATAGATGAACACTACCTCCTAGTTGGGCTCCACTTGATTATCGTAATTGATAGTTGGGGATGTCAGTCAGTTACAACGTAGAACTTCGTACGTAAGTACATAAGTTCAGGTTGCCATACCACGTTAGCAGAGAGATGCAGATGTCAGTTCAAACCCCATAGTGGTGGAGATAGTAGAATAATTAGCGGTAATGAAGAATGTTAGGGATCGAAGATATTATTTAAGAAGTATATTTCACTGAGGTAACTTTAGAGAGAGAAAGATAGAGGTGATGAGGAATTCTGAAGATTTGAATTAGAGAGAACACAAAGAGTGGATGCCCTTGCGCCATTCCTAACGATTTTCAGCCATATCGTTCAAGATCTCTAACCATCGGAGACTTTCGTCTCGCAGACTCCAACCAGGTAGCCTACACCCACCAACATGACTCAGTCCACTTGTCAGTGACTTCATCGATTTGTGCCATGTTTTACTTTGGTCGCCCCTAGCTTTCTTCTAAACTACTCCTACACCAGAGAACATCGCTAGTCAAGGCAATCATACATACATAAATCATTCGTTCCATAGTTTTAAAAAAACTTATTTGTTCAGTTTGCCAAACTTTGAAAATCATTAACTATCCGGTATTTTTATTTAATATTACTAATAACTAACTTTACATGAATTATGTAATCAAAAAAAGATCATTACACTTGTTCAGATTAAATTGTTTGAACTTGAATGGTATTTTAATTTTTACATTTTATATTGAAAATAGTTTAATATTCCCAATAATTTTTCATTTTTATTCACTTATTTTGTTGTTGCCTTAATACATTCCTAAATTGTCTAACACGTACTATTTCGATATTTTTGAATTCAAACAAGTCAGTCAAATTTGAAACAAACAAGGATTTGATTTCGACCAGATTGGTCTCGTGTGCTGTTGCGGGTATGAGGGCGGTTGTCACTTCCCGGCTGTCCACACCGTGGAACGTTGTTTCTTAAGGGACCTGAAAAGGAAGATAGATTAGTGTTGGTCTTAGAGACCTGGGAGCGTGACCGCAGAGTCCAAGGGACAACTGCTTGAGGCCGGTCACGTACGGCCTTTTTATGAAAGGTATTTTGAGGATTAGCTCCGTTCTTAAAGGCCCTTAGTGGGCACCCTTACCCAAGGAGACGGACATCCGTGAGGTAGGGTGAGGTGTGACATTTTTAGGGTCGACCTTTCCTAACCCTTCCTTACTTGTGAGAAGGCAGCATCGTTGTAGATGCTGGTTGTCCGAGGGAAACACCTTACTGCTGTCACACCCCTCTGCAGTCAGCAGTACGACTTCGCCCTCACACTTTGGGTAGCTGCTTTTAGTCTCATCGTTCTCCAATCGACCAGGCTGGCATGGTAGGACCTGCAGGAACATATGTTCCAGCCAGTATAGCTCGGTTGGGTCATCACGATAGGCCAGCCCGACCACCACGTCAAGGTAGCAGCTACGGTCGGGTGAAACAAACAATGTATATACTCTCATCATTATCATTCAGCGTGGATCAATAAACCTGCGATTTTTCAATTCTCATTATGTTTTGCTGTTAGATTTCTCAGAATTTTTCAGAAATCTCATTATTTTAATGAGATCATTTTTTGAAGTAAAAAAATTAGCAAATATACCCACGGTGTTTTGAGAGAGAAAGATGTAAGCACTCATCTTAATACTGTGGGAAAAGTGTAATTCAAGAGTTTCCATTGTTTTATTGGATGATATTCTGTATGCTAAAATTTTGCGCTTCAATGAAAATTAATCATATCCGAGTTAAAAATGTTAATAGCAATAATTGGATATGTGGTTTGTGAAATGATTTTTCAATTCCATGCTTCAGCTGGATAAACACTGAAGTAAATTCTACTGATTTCATTGGATATTTGCTACTAATATCGTCATAGTATCTTCGACGTTTAACCTTATTTAACAACTCTAGGTCTATCAAAACTCCCTGGTTGGAGTCTGACTGATAAAGTAACTCATTCGTTTAAAACGTGTTATGTTCGTCACTTCGTACGCTTGAAGCTATTACGAGTTCACCTTAGTCGATAAACGCGAACGAGACAATTACCAGCGTCCAGGTAGGTTACCTTGAATACCAAACTGCAAAACAGAAGACTTGGTAGGCGTAGAAAGTATATTCTACAACACCCAACAATCACAATACCATCAAGCACACAACTCTCATTTACTTATACATCATAGAAACGTCCTTGGGATAGTTACGAAAATAGCATACTAAAATACACAGCAGCCAATCACTGCCATGGATTTTCCTAGTGGGAAATGAAATCTCAAGGTCGCAAACGTGAAATCCAAAATAAGGCATTTATCAAGCGAGTTTTGGGGATCTAACTTCCCCAACAAAACGTTAACAGACACGGATCAGAATAGAAGCTAATGGCAGTTCGGTTTTCATTTTCTTTTACTCTGTAGAAGTGAATGGGACCTCTGCAACTGAAAGTATTCTTTCTAACCGCAACTTCTCAAACCAGATAACTTATCCCATTGTGTTCTTCTCTCACTCATTTAGTTTTACTCCGTTATTTTTCTTCTTCGAATAGATTCCAAGTACTGTTTTCTCGGAGCCTCTAATTTCATGCATCAGTTTACATGTACGTGGTAAAACATACGCATTGAAAAAACAGAGAGGAGAATTCTGAGCATGTTCCTAAGAATTTCAGATTGAGAGGAGCAGTAACCGTGTAATGTTTAATAGCTTGTCATCGAATTGATACCAGTCATATCATTGATGTCTCCCAATCTTTCGAAATTATCAACAGACAACATAATGCAACGTCTCTTCGGTTTGCCGCAGCCATTAAAAACTTTAACCTCATTTATGTCTCCAAGACGGTAACCAACTTATCACTATTTTGGTAATTTTCTTGTGTCACCATTATTTTTATCATTAGTATTTATGATGTCATATGATCTTCTCTTAACTATCTCCTATTTTATGTACTCCAAAATCATCTTTTCACTAACTCCCTTCTCTGAACCTCTATCAATAGTGCTTACTTATTATGTAATCCTTCAATCATTCATTCTAGGTAGTTATCACCGCATTACTCTAAATATTTATTTTCAAGTGGCCTAAAACATGTGCACACTCTTGATAACTTCTCTATCTATTTTCGATCTTCATTTTACTATTATCTCAGAATGGCTCCTCATGTTTTTTTAAACTCCATTTTTAAATGACCTCACTCCTGTTCACATACTTACTTACTGACTTACCTACGCCTGTTACAACCTCCTAATGGAACATAGGCCGCCGGTCAGCATTAGCTGAACTACTCTGTCCTGAACTTTCCTTTTCAGTTCTAACCAGTTGATGCTCATTCTTTTCATGTCTGTTTCCGATTCCTGTCCACATACAGACATATATATATATATAGCTATTGTTGTCAGTCTGTATGACTCTAATACTTTCCATCATCCAATGTTACTTGCTTCATAGTATAGCATACCTCATTTTTACAGCTTACTACATATATAATTGTAAGTAGCTGATAAGAAACCATGAAATATAATAAATTCATATTATTCTGCTTTAATTGATGTTCTACAGAATTGTACTAGCATTATTCTAAGATTTAAGTAGGATTTCACAATCTCTTTATGTACCCGACATTAATAAACATAATTATATTTGTTACATTGATTTTATTCAAACATGAACTTACGCTGTGGCTTCAATGACATTATGCAAAATATATGCTGTTGGTTGATGAAGTGAATTAATATCAATACTTTCTTCACGAAATGATTTCAAGATATCTAATGTTTGTGGTAAATTGAACATATCACAACGAACACCTGTATAACCAGTTCTACAACTTTAAACAAAATCAAATAAACATATATGTGATAGTATATATATTTGACAAAATTTCATGATAATATAATCTTATTTTCAAAAGAAAATGATTAATGCATCAGAGAAAAGAAATTATTTGTGTTATACTACTGAAATGCATAAGTAGTTACATACACAGCTTCTAATGTCGACTGATAGCTTCGTCAGAATGAGTTACCAATAATAATAATGATAACATGACAAGCTTGATCTAATCAGAATTAAAAACAAACTAGATAAATAAGACATTGATCTCTCTCTACTCAATCAGTTATCAATCAATTGTAAATATTTCAATCCTAGAGGCGCAGTGAGATAAAGGACAAACAGACAGACAGACAGATACAACGCAGAACTTTGTACATAAGTACATCAGTTCACGTTGCCATACCACGTCGGCACAGAGACGTAACTGTCAGCTCAAATCCAAGAGTGAAAACGATAGTAGAATTATTAGCAGCAATGGAGAAGATTAGGGAGCGAAGATCTAATTCGAAAAACATAATTGAGATAAATTTAGAAGGAGAAAGACAGAGATTATGAGGAATGCAGAAGCTTAGAATTTCATAGAACACAAAGAGTGGATGCATCTGTGCCATTGCAAACGATTCTGAGCCATGTCGTTCAAGGTCTCTAACCATCGGTGAATTTCGTCTCGCGGACCCCAACCAGATAGCCTACATCTACCAACATGACTCAGTCCACTTGTCAGTGACTTCATGGATTTCTGCAATGTTTTGATCTGGCCTGCCCTAGCTCTCTACCAACCTACTCCTACACTACAAGCTCGTCGCGGCAGTTGGTGGTTAGGCATACGTAACATATGTCCCAACCACCTCAACAGATGAAGTTTCAATACTTCATCTATTGATTTGCCATCCTTATCTAGAACTCGTTTCCTAACGACAGCATTGCTTATACGGTCGTGAGATAAAGGAATGTGAGTAGAGTGAGTCTAGAGTGAGTCGTGGAGGTAAGATAGATATTAGGGGATGTAGGAAGGATTTGATTTTAACAAATTTGGTCTCGTGCACTGTTACGGGAATTCAATACTGATATCTGGATACAAAATGGTTAGAAGATATATCTTTATTAAAGTTAAGTCTATAATATTTCAGTGATGACAATTATCTTTTTATTAGAAGAAAATAAAAATCTGATAACATATAATGATTGATACGTTATTACTATATGTTCCTGATATGTGATATTCAGAATACAATGAATATTAGTGAATGATTTTAATTATTGAACATTTATAAAGAACCGATTTTAAAAATTATATTTTTGTAGATAAGAGGATATATCATTAAGAATTAGAATAAGAACTGATTAGAAGTGATAAGACGGTAATAATAATCAATCAGTCTGTCAGCTACAACGTAGAACTTCGTACATGCGTATATCAGTTTAAGTTGCCATACTACATTAGCACAGACAGACGTAATAGTCAATTCAAATCCCATAGAGGTAGAGGAAGTAGCAGTAATTGAAAAGATTAGTGATCGAAGATATAATTCAAGGAGTATAACCAAGTTATATAAATTTAAAAATAGAAATTCAGAAGATGGCAATTTCAGAGAAGACAAATAGTGGATGTACTTGAGCCAAACGGTTTTGAGTCACTTCATCCTAAGTCTCTAACCACTGGTTACTATTAATGTCTTGCGGACCCCACTCAGGTACTCTACACTGAATAACATGGCTTAGTCCTGCTATCAGTAACTTCATAGATTTGTGCCACGTTTTGGTATGGTTGTCCCTAGCTTTCTTCCAGCCTTCCTCTACATCAGTCAGTCAGTCAGATGCAACGTAGAACTTCGTACGTAAGTACATCAGTTCATGTTACCATACCACATCAGCACAGAGATATAATTGTCAATTCAAATCCAATAGTAGAAGAGGTAGTAAAGGTATTAGAAGTAATCGGAGAGGTTAGGATGAGAAGATATTATTCAAGAAGTATGATTCAGTGAGAAAAGTTTAGAAAGTCAAAACTAGAGGTGTTGAAGAACCCAGAATATTAGGATTTGAGAGAACACAGAGAATAAATGCACCGGCGCCATTGCGAACGATTTTGAGCCATGTCATTCAAGGTCTCTAACCATCGATTATTATCATCTCGCGGACTCCAACCAGGTAGTCGACAATTACCGACATGGCTAAGTTCACTCGTCAATGACTTCATGGATTTATGCAATGTTTTGGTCTGGCCGCACCTAGCTCTCTTCCAACCTACTCCTACACTACAAAACAAAGTTCGTCGAGGCAGTCGGTGGTTAGGCATACGCAACACATGTCCCAACCACCTCAACTGATGAAGTTTCACCACTTCATCGATTGATCTGCCATCCTTACCTAGTACTCGTTTCCTAACGACAGCATTGCTTACTCGCTTGTCCCACGGTATACGAGCAATGTTTCGAAGACACCTATGATCGAAAACCAGTAACCGACGAATATCTACTCTCACTGGCCATGTTTCACAGCCATATAAGAGAACGGAGCGAACTGCTGCACAGTACACTCGTCCTTTAGTCAGCAAACGGATATCTCGCCTACGCCATAAGTGACGCATCATCAGAAATGATTGCTCGTTGAGGCAGTAGTAGATGTACCAACCACCTCGACTGATGAAAATTCATTCACCTTCCATCCTTACCAAGTTCCCTTTTTCCTAACACCAACATAATAATAATAAGTGAATAAAATTAGTCATTTTTAAGGGAGATGTTCGTTCACTGAACAGAATCCAACACAATTTTCAAACCGTGCTGTTGTTATCCAATGCTCTTTTGCAATGCTCTTCTCCGAGTTCTAGTGGGAAGACGTGACCAGTGAAGTTCAACCTGTTCGGGTGTAGACAGTGTCTACCGAAGACTGTGTATGAGGTTGCGCAACTTCGTGAATTGATCAAGTTAGACATTAACACCGTTAGATACCGGCTCAGTGGTCAATTGGTTAGGCGTTCGCGCACAATACCGAAGGTCCTGGGTTTGAATCCTGCGGGATGCAGGAGTCGTGGATGCGCACTGCTGAGGAGTCCCATACCAGGACGAAACGGTCGTCCAGTGCTTCCAGGTTTCTAATGGTGGTCTAACATTGATCGATTCATGGTTTCAAAAATGTGTAACTTACCAATCTTCACAACCCCTGTAATGACAATGCTCTTTAGTTAAAATAGTACACAAACAGAGAATAATCTATGATATTTGTAATTTATCGATAACTCAAGCATTAATTAATTGAAGTTTATGGTACGATTATTCATTTCAATCGAACCATTGTTATTTTTTGTATACTTCACTACTATCTCTATAATGATCAATATTATTTTCTAGCTCATAATCTCTGTGTTGTTGATGAATTCATTATCTAAATATTAGATTGTTTATTACAAATAAAGTTACAATTATCATGATAACTAGTCAATGAATCAATGAATCAATAGTAGTAGTATGTTCATCAACCTTGACCTTTCATGTTCTTATCCTTGATTTACAATAGTGTTAAATAGTAATCATTTGAAATAACTATGACCATATACATCCGTATAAACTTTCTTCATAGTTTGAAATAACAGTTTCATCAAAAAAAAATTGAATGCACATGTTATTTTTACTTGAATCTATTATATTTACTCAATGTTGTATAGTTTGATTTTAACGATTTAGATAAGTGAATGATTTTGGTAGAGTTTCATTCTCTGAAATGGATGGTTTAATTGTATTGTAACTTTCTGAACTACACACATCATTAGCAGCACAAACTTCAGGTGGGGAGTGAGATATTCTAATTTCTTCACAAAAATGACTAACAGTTTGTTCGATTGACCTTGATTTTGATTTGCTGTGTTGACCTTGAAGCTGTCATTGCCTATATCGTTATTTCGATTTTCTCTCTCTCTCTCTCTCTCTTTCATGAACCTTATTCTTGATACTATATTTTCTGATTGGCGAATAATTCGTATCATTTCTGATTTGTTTTCTGGTTACTGATTGACGATTTTAGTTCAGAGAACGAAACTCCATCAGAACAAAATATTAGACAAAAGTATGAATTGAAATTGAACGATTAGATGATTCAAAAGACTTCTTACTGGAAATTCAACATCAACAGTTCTTTTTTCAATTAGAGTTATGGAGATTAGTGTTTCTTGAACACTGAAATCATTAATCAAACATTGTTAGACCACCATTAGAAACTTGGAAGAAATGGACGGCCGTTATGTCCTGGTATGGGACTTATCAGCAGTGCGCATCAAAGACTCATGTACCTCGCAGGACCATCGACCTAACACCGTTTGATGTCAGCCCAGCAGTCCAGAGATTAGGCGTTCGTGCGCAAGACCAAAGGTCCTGAGTTCGAGCCCTGCGAGGTGCAGGAGTTGTGGGTCAACAGTTCTGTTATGTGGAGCTGCCATAACTATCACTGAATAATTGCAGATACTTATAAACACCTTATTACTAATAGTATTCTCCAGATCCAGCGGTTAGATACTATTAGCAATAATTTACTATGGCAGAGAACGAACAAACTGTTAGCTGAGGTATTCAGGGAAAAACGCTGGGGGTAAACCAGATACATTTGTCATAAACTATAAAACTTCATTGCAAGGCAAGACCAAACTTGGAACCCTCAAGGCAACTCTGAAAGGTCAGACCAAAGAACAGATGGTGTCAGGAATCAAAAGTAGACATAAGCAGCATGAAAAGCACTTAACAATAACTGGAAAGCCAAGCAGAAAACAGAGTTAACTGGAGATCCTCGATAGACAATCTATATCCTATAAGGGATATCAAGTTGAATGAAAGATGATAATGAAATGAAATATGAATTCTTAGATTCTAATTCTATCAACTGTGTAGTACTTGATCTGATCTGATAAAAAAAATACACATTCTTTAAATCAGAAAAATCTCTTGTTGTATTTTATTTACACACACCCCAATTACATGTTAGTGTGTATCTAAATGAATTCTTTAACTTACAGTCTCTTTATTATTAAGTTCAACTATCCAACAAGAAAAATAATAATACTAGTAGACTAAAAATAAACCACATGAATTCCAAATGTACATTCTTTTTATAATTAAAAATGCAACATATACTACGTATCTTGATTAATTTAGATTAAATAATTTGCTTCATTTAAGCACTGAAATGTAAAATATGTTTATTCTCTGTTCAGCTTGCAAAATATGTACACAGCCAAATAGTGCTATACTAGTTAAAGCAACAGGAATTTTAATTAATAGACTGCAAATATGAGAAATCAATTTCCCACTAATCCAAGTCAGTTTGCTTCCTTTTTAGACAGCTTACTGATATTCTTAATTATTACACATAAAAATTATCAGTCAAAGGAAAATATGAAAATTGCCATTTAGTAAAGTAGTTATGTCACTTTTTCATTATATTTGGATTGTAATAAGAATACACCATTTCGAATGATGGCTTACAAACAATGAATGTCTGTTCAGTAGGTTTCAACATGTATCAACCAAATCACACTTGACGGATAAGCTTTGGAAGATATAGAAATCTTTGAGATGGTGGAGAAATCTTTACATATCCGAGTAGTATCATTGATAAACAAGGTGGATCTGATGCAGATGTGAGGGCGCGGATCGGCAAAGCTAAGGGTAGAATTTCTACAACTGAAGGTTATTTGGAACTCGAAACAACCGTCGACAAACACGAAAGTCGAAATTTCCAATGCAAATGTCAAGTTCTACTGTATGGAACAGAAACTTGGGGAATTGCGAAAGTCATCATCCACAACATACAAGTGTTTATTTACAGTTGTCTAAACATGATATTGAGGATCCGCTGGCCAGACACCATCACAAACAACCTATTATGGGAGAGAACAAACCAAATTCCAGTGGAGGAAGAAATCACGAAAAAGCACTGGAAGTCGATAGGACACATATTAAGGAAAGTTGCATGTGTTACGAATGCCTAACCACAGACTGCCGCGACGAGCTATATTTCGTGGTGTAGGAATAAGTTGGAAGAAAGCTAGGGGTGGCCAAACCAAAACATGGCACCAATCCATGAAATTGCTAACAAGTGGACTGAGTCATGTTGGTAGATGTAGGCTACCTGGTTGGGTTCCGCGAGACGAAAGTCACCAATAATTAGAGACCTTGAATGATATGGCTCGAAATCGTTTGCAGTGGCGCAAGTGCATCCACTCTTTGTGTTCTCTCAAATCCTAATCTTCTGGATTCGTCAACACCTCTACCTTTGTCTTTCTGATCTTATCTCACTGAATTGAATAATTTCAAACCCTAATCTTCTCAATTACAGCTAATACTTCCACTATCTCTACCACTATGGGATTTGAACTGACGGTTGCATATCTGTGCTAATATCGTATGACAACCTGAACTAATGTACTTACGTACGGAGTTCTACGTTGTTACTGCCTGACTGAAGAAAACAGAAGTAATGACTAGGAATAGAGAGTGAAGAATGATCTATAATTGCAAGGATGAATATTTATGCAGTTAATTAATACAAAAAATTGGAATTACTTTTGAAAAACTATAGATTATAACTCATTTGTTTAAGCTTTCTAATATCATGAATTTCACACTTCTTTGTAAATAAATATTAGCAGCTTCCACTTAACTACACATAAGATACAAGTTATCTGTCATGACGTTCTTAATTTTGTGCAAAAATCGAATAGTCACTGTCTTAAATCTGATTGGTTCCTCGATAAAGCATACTTTTACCCTATTGGCTAGCACTTTCATTCTGGCTGTATGTACCCATGATTATGCCATAGATAGAACCCTTTACATTCAGATCTCAAAATCGAATAGTTCATATTTCTATCATCAACTAATCTCACTATATGTTATGTTCATCATTCAATAACAATGTTTCAATTTTAAATCGGCTAAATTCAATCAGTCACAAATTCTCATTGTAAAGTGTTTAGATTACTTTTCATCACTGATATTGATATCACACTGATAAAACAGTTTGTAAAACCTTAAAGATACAATAAAGAAATGTTATCGAATGACTAAAATTTAACAAACAAGTAAAAAATACGACATGTAAAGGGATTTGTGATGATTGTAAACTTGTCATTAGTGAAAAATCATGAATTGTTCTTCACTAGATCGATCACCTATATAAAAAATTTAGATAGCATTGAACAGTTGTTTCGTCCTAAACTAGAACGAAACAACAGCTGTCCAACGAAAATATCAGTTCATTATTTAATAAACTATGTGAATATGGATGGAATCAGTCAACACTATAACTAAACCGATAGGTGAAATTTTTACATATCATTGAACATTGAATTGTTTTGTTTTGTTTTTTCTCTTTGATTCGTCACATTAATATATTATTAATGATTCACCATAAAAAATTTTGTTAAATTTACAACTACGTGGGATGGATGTGAACATGGAACTAAATGCACTAAATTTACACATTAGATTACAACTACTACACACAAATAACTAGACACATTTTTATCCACATGACAAATAGCATATGTCAAATCAGTCACTTGACAAATGTCAACTTTTTCAAGGTCACATAACATTGTGTGAATTGTGTGAATTTCGACTAAATATCATCAAAAACAACATACTAGAGAATATACATTTCATGTAAATTGATAAAAAAAAAAATAACTTAAAATAGGCTAGAAAAGTAAGTATAAGGGTCATGTTTTAACAAAGTTTTGTACTTAATTCTTGTGTGACGTTTATGTGGTTTTATGTATACATGTAAAATAAGGAATATATGTAGTCAAAGTTACAAGTATACACATTTATACATCTTTATCACTAATCGAACTTGTCATCACAACACAAATATGAAAATCAATTGGTTGAAGCTATCAAGATATAGTAGATAAACTGAAAAGAAAACCACTCACATCATAAAAGTCAGTTAGTCGGTCATACCAATATGCAGAACATGGCACATATAAGAATCTTAGTAGTATGACAGACAAGATAATTTTAAAATTCATGATTTAAATGAAGACAAAAAGTGAATCTATCTGAATTTTGTGTTGATGGTGTTGTTCAGCAGAACAATGAAAGCTCCACAACCAAAATATCCAACTGAGAGAACGAAACTCCACCACAGTGAACCTATCTGTGTCACTGTGACCTATTCTGATCTATATCACCCAACATCATAAAATGTTTGTTACGAGAATCAACTACCAGTGACTTCATGAATCAATTTCACTGTCATGGTTTAGTCACTCTTGGCTTTCTCTTAACTTACTCCTATATCAGTCAATATTGTGCACCGTATCACGAAACTGGAATATTATGATATTCAGTTCAGGTCTTCAGATTAATTGATATGAAAATAGAAATAAATAAGATCAATACATAAAATGATAAATTTATCAGCGAACTTCTTTGAATTAGAGTTATGGAGATTAGTGTTTTTACACATTGAAATCTCAATAAATCATTGTTAGAAACCTGGAAGCACTGGATGGCCGTTTCGTCCTGATATGGGACTCATCTCTGGCAGTGCGTATCCACGAATCCTACTACTCACAGGATTCGAACCCAGGTCATACGGTCTTGCAAGCGAATGCCTTACCTTCGAACCACTGGGCCGGCAACCAACGGTGTTAATGTCTAACTTTGATCAATCTAGTAATTTTGCGCAACCTCACCCATTTGTCTTCAACCGACAGGGTTGAACTCTAATGATCACGTCTTCTTCTCACTAGAACTCTAAGAATTTCCTCACGAAGCTAGTCAGTCACTAGTGAACACATTGTACGATTCTTTCAATAAGACTTATGGAGATCAGTAATCATCATTCAATTATTAAATCAACTTCAAAAATAATAAAACATTTCAACATCTTATTTATTATCAATAATTATTTGAAATAAATTAACTATATTACTACTATACTTACTAACAAGCAGCTGTTTCTAATACACTAATATAAACACATTTTATAGCATTATAACAATAATTTTCATATTGTCCAGTACAATTTTCATATGGTCTTCCATCAAATTTATTTAAACCAAATGGTATAGCTAAAGTTTCTTCAATAGTTAATGAAATAGCACGAATATTTAATGATGGTTTTATTGTATGTTCATGTATAATTTCTTTAGATTGATCAATATCAGTTAATGATGTTGTTGATGGTGTTGTTGTTACAGTTTCTGATGATGATGATGATGATGATGATGATGATGATGTTGTTGTTGTTGTATTCATCAGTTCTATTAGATTATCTGTTGTCAAATCTATTGAATTCAATGTAGATAATTGATTATCATTATTGAATGAAATAGGTAAATCAGTAGTTGTTTGAATTGGTTGTGCTGATGATGTTGTTTGCTGTTGTTGTTGTTGTTCAATAGACAATGTAGAAAAAGTTGATGTATTCACATTATCTTCATTATCTATAAATAGTGTACTATCAATTAAATCTTCTTCTAATTGTTCTCTTTCTTTTTCTTCATTATTATTCATAGTATTTTTCAAATTATTTGATTCATTCATGGAAATATTTGTTACATGTTCAATTATATTGATTGATATCTCGTTATCATGATTTTGATGTATATCTTCAATATTTTCATGATCTATTGAATTGATATCATTATTTATTAATAAATGTGATTGATTATCTATTGTTAAATGTAATTGTTCAATAGGTATCGATAATGTTGTCATCATTATACTACTGACATTATTATGAGTAGTAGTAGTAGTTGGTGTTTTTGTTGCTTCTGTTGTTGTAGCAGTAGTACTCATTGTATCAATGGAACTAGAAGTATTCATTGTTTGACTTTTGATATGCTTGGATAAAAAAACATCATTCATTAATTCTTGACTAAATCTAGTCACATCAATTTTATTGGAATTATCAAAATTGATTGATTTATGTTTACCGTCATTATTATTATTAATATTATTATTATGATGATTATTATGATTATTACTATTATTATTTGTCATAGAATCCTCATCTTCATGTTGTTTTATCAAATTTAATCGATTCACTTCATTTGGTAATCGTAGAGCATCATCATCATCTTCTGTATTATCATGTAGAAATAATAAATCTTGTATTTCAGGATTATCATTTAAAATTTCACTAGTTGAATCATTCATACCGTACGAAGTTGTAAATGTGGATGATTCTGGTATGGCGGATCTTTTCATTCGTTTCATATGTAAATTCATAACTCCATGATCATTACGTTGAATCGGTTCTAAATGAATTATATTTCTAAGTAGATGAGCTTTAAGTTGTGTTGTAAATAATTGTATTTTATAAATACATGCATCTGTAAAACAATTATATCTTGATCGAATATCTCTTTCTTCTTTAACTAATTGTAATAAACGTTTTAACCAATCTGATCGTGTACGTATAACATTCATATATTTATTTACTGTACGTTGTACAATCATTTCAATAAATGTAAAAGTTGTACTTTGTTCATTAGATTGACTATTTTTAAAATTGAAATTTAATTCTTTATAATTTAATAAAGATTTCAATAGATTCATTTCATCATTATCATTCATCATCTTATTATTATGATTATTATGATTAGTATTATCATATTTTATTTTGTTTAAACGATGAATATGATCTTTCAATGTTTCAATGTTATGTTGTTGTTCAATGTGTTCAATGTGTTCAATGTCATCAACATGATTGTCCTCCATTGAATTGTCCACTTCTTTTTTCATACGAAGTAATTGAGAATTTGATGGTGTAGTTTCTGTGAAATCATTAAAATCCTTGTCAGATTCTTGTTGCTCTTCACTATGTGTACTTTCACATTGAATATAAAACATTGAACAAATTATAATTAATAATATATAAATGAAATATTTGAAATTTGTTGTCTGTACAAAATATTTCAAATAGATCATATTGTTATTCATGTTATTTTAAATAAAATAATGTAATAGTAACAATAATAATAATAATAGTAATATTAATATGTAATAAGGATGAAATTTATTTAAAGGATATGACATTTTTTTTATTCAAAAATCAGTTAGTGATATTTTTATTTCTTTATTTGTTTTCATTGAAAAAATGATTGAAAATTAAATCCGTTAAATTTTGTTCTCAGTCATTGTTTGAAATTTTCTCCGATTATACTTGTGATTCATTACACATATATATATGTATATATATACAATTGATAGTTTGGCCTCTGGTGTTCTACTGAATGAAACTAGTTTGAATAGAGATATTACACACACGATGGAGAATAAATGGCATAGATTTTAATTTCAGCTTAGATTAACTTGCCTTAATCATTTACACACACATAATGTGTAGTATTTATATATATGTGTATATATATGCACGCACACACACACACACACAAACACGCACATTCATTCGGGATATTGTTGACTGTTTGTTAGGGATTTTTACATGAATCTCTGCATAGATTCAATTATTATGTAGACCTAGTGTTTTATGTGCCCATGTGTGTGTTAACATGTATGTCTATATAGAATAACTCCCCAAAATAATTTATAAATGGTCAATACTCTCTGCAACATCTATCTATCTATATATTTACACTATTTAACGTAGGTGATGTGCATGTAAGAATTGTGTGTGTATGTGTGTGTGAAATGTATATGCCATTGGATTTCAACGTTCACCTTCACTACGTATATATATATATATAAAATCTTTTCAATGTGTGAAACCGACCATGTAGGTTTTTTGAACTATAAATATCTACAATATTTGTATATGTCTACGTAAAACATAGTATCTGAAATGGGTTCATGCATATGTTGTATATAGATATATATATATATTGGAAAATGATATTCATTGAAAATCCTGTGTCTGTTTATTGATAATCAACAGAATTTTGTTTTTCAGTTTTATTATACAAACTAAGTTATCTATCCTTTATTTAAGTAGATTGGGTAAAAATATATTTTATGATTGAAATTGGTCATCTCATTTGTTGACCTTGAAATAGGATTTTTGTTTGAATAAACATTAAAAATAAATTAAACCAGAATGTAGAAATTATTGTTGAAACGAATTGAAAACGAGTATAATTTTATTAATATATTCCAAGTTGTATAAGTTAATTTTTCAATGTAAACATTCAAATGAGTTAGGTGATACTGATATCTCATATATTATGCCTTCTGTATCGTCTTTGATATAACCTTACACGTTCGACACAACTATTTCACTAATATTGAACAATTGAATTCGACTTGGTCAGGTGATTGATAGACACAAAATAAATCATCGTAATACAGTAGTACTACAATATACTTGGTGTCATTTGTCGAGACTACTTTAATAATAACAGTAGATAACATTTATCGTAAATAAATAAATAAACAATGATGAACAGTTTCATGTAGGTTTCCCCCGAGCTAGCTAAAAAATGTGTAGAATTTTATGGAAACCTGTTTAGTTTCATACCTAACCATCACGTAGTCAAACAAATATTGTAAACCAAGAAGCATTAGACAACATCACATAACACTCAACATCAGTGAGCATTCACTTCCCTACCATCGGTGATCAAACATAGGACCTTCGGTCTTGTATGCGGATGCTTGATTTTCGAAACACTTAGAGAGATTAGGCGTTTGCGCATGAGACAGAAGACCTTGGGTTCGATTCCCACATACAGAGTGGTAGATGCCCACAACGGATGAGTCCTATACTGAAACGAAACTGCCGTCTGATGTTTCCAGGTGATTGAACACTGATCAGTTGATGATTTCAATAAAACTCAATAATCCCCCTAACTCTAAACTGTCAAAGTATTTTGCCAGTCCAGCAGTGATCTGAAGTAGATTTTATTATTTCTCTTGATTTAGAAAAAAATCTTATCACTGAGATTATGGAAAAGACGTATGCTTCGAATCTTAAAGATGTTGAACAGGTCAATGGATAAATCAGATGAGATACTGTAGTGAAGGTAAACACAGGTGAGGCAACCGAATTGTGTTTATCGAAAATTACAGAGTTACTCAGTAAAATTGGAAAACCATATCGTAAATCGTTAATTTGCAAAATATCAGTTCATCATATCGAACTGGACTGTTCCTATTGCAAAACATCAATCCATTGTTACTATTCATGCGTTTCATACAAATTCCATTGTGTTCTAACTCTTCCTTTCTTGATCTTCCCTCAGCTTCTGCTGCCAGACATTACATTGACACTCACGTCATATACTAATTATAAGTAGCTCACACCACAATACCAATCAAAATATGTGTGTAAATAGTGACAGCTCACGGATGGACAACAATCAATCAGATTTTATGACTTTAGAACAATCTGTCAATAAATTTGTAAAGACATTTGAATAACTCACTGCTAATGATGCTGTCTGGAAAAATTCTGAGAGTTTCATGGCTAAACTATGCAACTTAGATGACCAACGATAGCCACGAAATCCAAGTTCTATATTTAGTAATCTGTTAGTTATAGGTATTTAAATGTGTTATTTATCATCTTCAATGACAGAACAAAACATGTTTATGTTATAGTGGAAAAAAAGAAAACAGGTGATATATAGACGATACTGATACCTATAAAATGATTTTACAATTTGAATGATGATATTGATTATATTTCTCGATAGTGGTTTTTTTTAACTTTGACCTAATTTGAAAATTTTTTTAACAGATAGTAGTGATATGTTTAATACTGTAGATTATGAAACAATCTAAGTTTTCTCACAATAAAAAAAAAGAAAAATATTTAAATGAATACATGTTAGATCTAAATACCTCAAGTGACCTTTTCCAATAGCCAAGCGATTAAAATCAATGTTTCAAGATGGTAACATTAGGTGAAAGATAATCGTTGCTGCTGAGCACACACTATGGAACCTCAGTATCAATGATATAATGTTGCCACTGGTGGTGATGAACTATTCTAGGGGAACAATGATCTTTAGTGGCCGGTCATATGACTCTATATTTATGAACAGTCGAATAGGCTATAAAATAAGTCTCCCTTTTAGTCTCTGTATGTACTACTTTGGTGAACACCTTTTGTGTGACGGCGATAATTAGATGTCAAATACGGATTCATTCGGATGAGTTTATTTCAAGCTATCGTTCATGAAGATAGATAGGAGAAGTGAAGCGAAGTGGAGAAGACAGGCGAGCCAACTCTATGGGATAAAGCACAACACAGTATTTATGGTTAGACGAAATAAGCCAGATATGCGGTAAGCGAAGTAAAAGACACGCACACACACAATCAAATATCAACCAAGATGTGAGCGAATGACTGACAAGGTCAAAAGGTGAGTGGATAATAACTTAGGAACAATGGATTGTTTAAACTGTCTAAAGGTTGGGGAATCCCTCTGGGCTCTATATAAAAGTACACACACTACAAATCAAAACAGGGAATGGCGGAACAGTCTCATAATGCTTGTGTCAAGCTTCCCAAACATAAACCAAAACTACTTTCAACGATACATTTTAACCTGATCTTTATAATCAGAAGATATCAAAGATGACCAAGATGGGTATAAGCCACTCTTGCTTTCATTATTCATAGACTGGTTTCATTTACCAAATAACAATCAGTCCTAACAAGTACATGAACTATTCAACTACTTCTAACGGCTCACCATGACTACGAACATCAGTTCACAAGCAGTCGTCGCACTTCTAGTGATTCATACATAAACAGTTTCAAGAGAAATATCAAAGACGATGAAATATCTGGTAAGATTTTTATAATTGTACGATCAATGCTACAACACAGTGCTAAGATGAAATCAAAGTTAATAAAGTTGTCAACCACGAATCTTTCGATGTTAGAGTCTCATTCACCTCTGTCAAACCAAATCTAGGAGAGGATATTATAACTATGCTCCTCGCCAGTTATATAGATCCTACAGAATACACCAAGATTCAAAGTCAGAGCCTGATTGATCATATCATTCTTATGTCTAACAGCATACTTTGAGTTTAACGGAAAAATATGTAAACAAATAAAAAAAACTTTAATGTGGTCACCAATATCTGGGCAGCATCATCGACGAGAAAGGTGGATCCGATGCAGATGTGAGGGCGCGGATTGGCAAAGCAGGGGCTGCATTTCTACAGTTGAAAAATATATGGAACTCAAAACAACAACCAACCAAAACCAAAATCACGATTTTCAATACAAATGTCAAGACAGTTCTACTGTATGGAGCGGAAACTTGGAAAACTACGAAAGGCATCATCCAGAAGATACAAGTATATATTAACAGTTGTCTATGCAAAATACTTCGGATTAGTTGGCCAGACAACATCAGCAACAACGTACTGTGGGAGAGAACAAACCAGATTCCAGTGGAGGAGGAAATGAGGAAGAAGCGGTGGAAGTGGATAGGACACACATTGCGGAAAGCACCTAACTGCGTCACAAGACAAGCCCTCACATGGAACCCTCAAGGTCAAAGGAAAAGAGGAAGGCCAAGGAACACACTACGCCGAGAAATAGAAAAAGATATGAGAAGAATGAACAAACATTGGACAGAACTGGAAAGGGAAGCCCAGGGCAGAGTTGGTTGGAGAAAACTGGTGGGCGGCCTATGCTCGATTGGGGGTAACAGGCGTAAGTAAGTAAGTAAGTAAGTATGCAGAGGCTAAAAACTTCCCAGTCTTTCACTGAACTATGCAGACGATGTGTTCACCATCAAAAATAATCAGCTGGATAGCACTCACAATTTAATAAACTGAGTCTCCAATGATATAAAATTCACATTAAAAGTAGGACCTGACAACAAACTACCGTTTTTGGATATACTGATCATTAGGACCAATATGGGAAGACTGGAGACTCAAGTATATCTGTAACAACTCAATGGGATAAAAAATAAGCTGTAGACAGTCATTATT